ACATCATACATCCATACACAATATTCACAAATTATACATGTACATCCAACTCAAACAACACACCTGTGCAGCAATACACAAGAGTATATGCATAAAATAATGCTCTTAATATCCAGGCAAATAGTTGCATCAAAATTATTAATTTATATGTGAAATGGTACACTCAAATGTACGTAAATATATCAGGTGATCAAAGTGCAAAAAGTATTATAAGAAATTATACAATTCTAAATCAATATGCTGTTGAAGTTTTGCTGATAGGGCTTGTCACATCTGCGGTAGGTATCACGCGCTCTCATCGTCTAGGTCAGAGATGGACCAATCCAGTCAGAGGGACATGGCGTTGTAAGTCGGCGGTCATGGGACCAACCCTCAGAATTCACCACTTAATAGGGCCAGGTAGTACATCACAAGTACATCAATTCAGGTACATCCATATAAGGACTATCTATAATTAAAATAATTAACCAACTCGATGCCAGTATTTTCTCCAAAGAAAAACATATTCACATATTTCAAGGCTTGTTCAAGCAACAACAACCAATACTCAATAACCAATAATTCAAGCAATAATGGAGAAACAACAAAAGGAAATGTAACTTACGATTGTCCAATTGTCACGCTGACCTATGCTTGTCCGAGCCATACCCAAGAACCTCACAGAACTGCAACTTCTATGCTGATGGCCGAGGGACGGCACAAGCTGCCACAAAATGGCTACGCCAGCATGCACTCCAAAACACAGTGCTAACAACCACAACAATGCATGTATAGCAATACTCACACACACCCACTTGCTCCATCTTATATCCAGCCAACACCCACATTTACCGCATACTGGAAAGCACTCAAGTACGCCAACTAAATTCCAGCACCAAGGCCCTGGCTGAACAACAAAAGTCTACTGGCCAGTGTAGAGGATTAAGTTAGGATTACAAAAGATTAACTGTACAATTTACAACGACAATCATGGTCCTGCAGTGGAAACTTAAATAGTTAGAAAAGTTATGTTTAATCAGAATCAGCTGTGACAATCCCAGAGCAAATTCATATGAATCTCGACTTTGACAACGTCCTACCGCCTACGAGGCAACATTCTAGACGCCCTTTTCCTCCCATTGGGAAGGTAACCCAGAAACGACTAGAATCTCTCCCTCTCATGGGACCGGGCACCTTTCTGCTGGCAAATTCCAAGAGGCATATGGACGAAACGCATAGATGCAATGGACAAGATTAATCTCCGCAAGTCAAACATCGAAGTCCGGTCCGGACCAGCCGAAAGCTTGTAAGCCCAAGCCTTACCACCACCACCGGCTGATCGCCCTGCGAAATCTTTTTGAACCAGGGCCTTTCGTGGTCGTACCTCCAACCAATCACGAACTATGACAACGCCCCATCAAACCAGTGCCGGGCCAACCCTACCGCTAGAGTGGCCAGGTCAGAAAAGCCACCGGCCGTACCCCGGTCCCGGTCCTCGGTTCACTGGTTGTCGATGACTTTCTAGAGCTTCAGCGGCCCCACACTGACCCGTGGGCGGCCGCCTTCAAGCTTTTACAGGGTTCTGGTCCCAGGCGCTCTCCGATCGGTGGGGTGCTTCAAACGATCCAGTTCGGTTATATTCTAGAGTTTATGAACACCCCCCTCCCAAACAAGCCATTGTATTTAAGCAACTGGATTAAATCCAACATCATTTCGTTAATGACCTTCTGACCGAAAATGGTGAATTGTCAACTGAGTCAAACTAATTAGAAACATAACTGGTTAGCAGAAATGTACCACATTACAGAAGGCCATACCAAAAGAATGGTTAAGAACCCTAGCAAATAATAAAAACAAAACTCCCTTTGAAAGACAAGTCTACGTTAATGATGCTTTAAGCAGTTTAGAAAATATTACAACTAAAGAAATATACAAGGTTTTAATTGATGAAAAGGGTAAAACGCCAGTTAGTCACAAGCGCTGGAAGATATACTAAATGAAGAAATACAGTGGAATTCTGTGTGGAAACAAAAAATTATTAACATAAAAGAAGCTAAGTTAAGAAACTTTAATTACAAATTTCTACACCGCATAGTACCAACTAAAAAACTTATTGTATAAATGGAAAATTGTGAATAGTCCGTTGTGTTGCTTATGTAACGAGATTGATGATAACATTCATAGTTTTTGACATGTGTACAGTACTTACATATACATTAAAATTTTGGAATGAGTTTGCTCAGTATCACCAAGCGATAACAAAACATTGTTTTAAATTGCCAAAATGTTTAATTTAGTAACAAGCCTTGATTTCGATTTTGAAATAAATTTGATTATAACAATAGCAATGTATTCCATATTTAAGTAGATTAAAGACATATCAAGACAATAAGTGGATGCAGCACTTTTGACACTTTCATTCGAGAACTTTATTGGAGAGCTAAACTACAGAAAAAAACAAAAAACTTCTGGAAAAAGTTTCTGTAACATCTTATTTATATTAATGTATATAATGTAATTAAGTAATTAAATACGTATGTTTTTCTAAATGTAAACAATGTTGCGAGAATAAAAGCACTAGACGCAATAAATGGGGGAACCCCCCCCCCCCGAGTCGGACACCATAATTCGTCAACCAAGGTTCCAGCCGAGCCGGCCATAACGCCTTGGAAACGGAATATGAAATCCCTCCTTACCAAAACGCAGTTCGCATAGTTCCACCGGGAAGAGGCACCGTCCAGTTTCCTGTCTACCCTTTTCCTAACAACCAAAGGGAACACAGGACGTGGCGACCGATCTGATCTTGAACCTGAAACCACTCAACAGATTTTCCGCCCCAAATGTTTCCGTATAGATTCTCTTTGAACAATCCTCAACTTGATTCCAACTCCGTCATGGGCTACATCCCTCGATCTGAAAGACACTTACCTACATGTACCCATACACCCGCAGCATTACGAATTCCTACGTTTTCAAATACAACATCAGAATTTTTATGTCCCTGGACGACTGGCTCATTGTCGGCCATTCAAGGACAGAAGCCTACCGAGCCCTTCAAGAAACATTGTCCTTGATCACACGTCTGGGTTCCTGAACACACTTTAACCCAACACAAACACCGACGTTCCTGGGGGCCATGCTCAATCTCAAAACAAACACGGCTTTCCCAACGGACATACGACTACGAACATCCAACAGTGCATCAAACTGTTCCTCCAGGAGACATCAGCCCCAGTAGCAGCATGACTGAAAATACCGGGGCTTATGGTAAAGCATGGTGGATCTCGTTCCACATTGTCGAACTCCGCATGCATCCTATCCAGCTCCACCTCCTTGTACATTACTGCCCGAGCAGCTTCACTTCACTCGTAAGATGAGCGCTGTAGACTCTCTCGTATCCCCCCCCCCCACCCCCTCCCAGTCGTGTGGGGGTTGTACAGCACCAACGCCCACAACATTACTGTGCGTGTACGTGCCCGTTGTAGTGCGTGCATATACTACAGCCCGCCATGGAGCCGATGTACAGTGCAGCCGGTAGCTGCATCCAGGCGTGCCGTTCTAGTCCAGGCCAGGAACCAGAGGATGCCGTCGTTTGCAGCTACAAACCAGCCTACCTGCCGAGAACGAGACAGGATTTGCGGGAGTCGTGACCAGATGGTCGGCAGACGAAAATCGCCAACGAGATGGACGCGTACTGCCAGGGATCGAGGCCGTACGATACAGATCCAAGATGGCGGTGCCCATGGAACATTGCTAACGTCAGACTGGGATCGACAACCAGCGTTCTTGCGTGAAAAATCGCAAATGCACATCGATCTCTGCCAGCCCTGCTGATAACTGTTGATATGGAAGATCGCCGCAAGCCCCCGATTGAAATTTTAACTTGTTTTATCGTACACGGAACATCGTTGTATCGTCGCGCACGAGTACAAATTCCAATTCGCAAGGAAAGCCAGCATGTTCGCCGTGGCCATACCGAGCCAGTCTAAACCAGGATGGATATTTACTGCCTGTCTGCAAGCCCACAGCCTTTGAACTGTTGAACACTGATCAACGCCGCCGCCAATACTGATTTAAGGAACTGGACAGTGCATCCACCTTCAAGAGACTTGAACTTGAACATGTTGAAGTAGGTTTAAAAAAAAAAAAAATTGTTTTGCTGTTTCTAATGTCATGTGATGATATGCATATAGTTTGACCTACATGTGTACGTACAGAGTATTAATGCATGTTATGCCAGAGTTCTTGTGTTAAAAAAGGCCTTGCATATATGGTAGTTATTGCTAATTACTGTTTTTCATTGCGGTTCAGACATTTGTGTTTATCTTGAAACCATATTAAGGTGTCAAAACTGCTGTGATATTGTGTTGATAGCACACATGTACATTGCGTTGCGTCGCACTGTTATGGTTCAATGTATTTGGTATGCATACTTTTAAGTAGTGTAATACAAGTGGATGTTAGTGGTGTATCTTTTGCTCACATTGATAGCTGTATAGCTAATTTCAGTGATTAAGATGGCTACACTAGGCAATATTTGGGTAATGTACCGCAGTTTGAAGCAGGTTATAATTTTTATGAGTGGGTAGAGAGCTTTTGGAAGCTTTGGCTACAAGCCAATGAGATTACTGATGATGACAAGCAAAGGTCGGTTTTCTTAACCAATTTAGGTAGTTAGAAGTACCACCTACCCTACGGGCTCTAGTCCAGACCAAAAAAGCCCACAGAGAAGACGTACAAGGATGCAAAGACGTGCTTAAGGCACATTTCTCGCAAAACCTACTGAGATTGTTCAGAGATATAGGTTTTACACTGTATTCAGAAAGTCAATGAAACTATTCCCCAGTTTGTTGCCTAACTTAAGACAACTTAGTGAGGGATGTAACTTCAAGGAGTTAGATAATATGCTAAGAGATAGAGTATAGTAGGATGCCGTGACACGGCTACCCAGAGAAAGCTCCTCAGTGAGTCTGAGTGAGTCAAAACTAACTTTCGAAAAGGCCCTCCAAATAGCTAGGGCTATGGAAGTTGCAAATAAGGATGTAGAAAATCTAAGAAACATCGGAAACCAGCCCGATAGCCCCTCGGGCACAGTAGTACATAAAATGCAAGGGACGCCCCCTCTGCAGAAAAACCGAGAAAAGCCCCCAACACAGGCAACCAGAGAAGCCAGCGGTCCTGTGAGCAAGCCAAGAAAAAGATGTTGGTGCTGTGGTGCCTGCCAAGCCCCTACATCCTGCCCGTTCCAGAAGGAGAAAGGTGCTCTCAAGTGGGACATACTAAGAGCCAGTGTGATAAAGTGCAAGCTTTCAGAAGCAGGAATCTTATCGCCGCCTCCAAAGCACACATTATCTAGGAGATGATGAGGAATCAAGCCCAAAGCGGAAGACCTCAGCCATTTAAAGGAGGGTTCACTCCATAAGTTGAGCCGGCCAAA